GTTTCCTCCTGTTTGTGTTTTCTTTGATTTCTCCGATCTGTTCTCCGTCGTGGTCTTCGTCATAACCGTTGATTAAACGCCGTATCGATCTAGACTTCCTGCAAATCTGTTTCCGCTGCAACCATGGTCTCTTCAGCCACCGACTCCCAGAATGAGTATCTCTCTAACTCCGGCAGAACCGATCCGTCCTCCGCCGAGAGTCCTGTCGTTTCGACTCGCGAAGGGACTTTATCGAATGCCGACGAGAGGGTGGCAAGTGGCAACTCTTTGGCCGATGATGACGCTGGATCCAGTTCTGTTGGCAATCCGGAGGTCGGAACTTCGCAACCCGCCGCTGCTAAGCCTCATCGGTCTGTGATTAAGGGTCAGCCCGCAGGTCGGCGAGTTTACTCAAATCCTGATTCCTTCGGTCTCACGTCTATCGACAGGCTTGCGTTAGAGCCTTTGGGGCCGGGCTTAGGTCCCGGCATCGAGCTGAAGAAAAAGGACGATTTCGATTCGGAGGCCGATCTGTCCATGCTTACGAACGTCTGGTCTATCCGTGATCTTCCAAGGGAGGTCGAATTTCGTGTTCCTCAGAGCGGTGAGCGTCCTTGGTCGCCCCCGGATGGGTACATGTGTCTATATGTATCCTTCTTCGAGGAGAGCGGGCTATTTTTCCCGATTCCGCGGCTGCTAATCAAGTACTGCGCTCGCCGCGGCCTGGCCATTTCTCAGCTGACCCATGGGTCTATTAGGAACTTCATGGCGTACCTGGTTTTGGCTGCAGAGCAAGGATTGATTTGTGACTGCGACACCTTTGAGGGGCTAACTGCGCTGAAGCGGAGGGGCTCTTCAGGCCGCTATTATGTTTCGGCCAAACCCAAGTACAATCGGTTAATCACGGGCTCTGACGCCGATAAGAGCGCGGACTGGGAATGTTTTTACTTTTTTGTGAAAATAAACGCTGCGTCTGTAGAAAATCCCGTGTGGCCTATTCGTGCGAGCTGGAATGTTAACATAAGTACGTTTTTGCCGAAATRTTTCTTTTCTTCGTTCGGGCTGACATCTAATTTCTTTTTTTCTTTGTTTGCAGACAGACCGCCGCCAAGGATACTCTACTCCGAGCGATCTGGTGAAAAATCTCTTGTCGGATTTATCGAGAAGCTGGGCCTCCAGATCTGGCCTGAATTCGTCGAACAAAGGATCCAAAGGTGCATTGGAAGGATCTTAACCGGTTAGTGCCCGCCCGTTCTTTCGATCTCGGATTTGTCAACTCTTTTTGATGACGCCTTTCTCTTTTGCAGGCTGTTTCGATCTCGAGCTCGAACCTCTCCGTCCTTACACGCATCCTCCGGTAGTTCCAAAGGCGAAAACTCTTAAACGAACTGCGGAGCAAATGGGTAAGAAGACAAAGGGGACRTGGAGGAGAGTGGATTACAATGAGRCCGCGTTGGACGAAGCGGTCGACGCTTCTAAAAAGAAGCAAGTTGCTCCAGCCGGGGAGAGCGCCAAGCTGAAGCAGACCGTCCCGGCTGGAAGGTCGCTCCGTCTGATAGAACTCGAAAACAAATATAAAACCAATCAACTTTCGTTGCAGAGATTATCTATGACGAAATCCCTAAATTCCAAATTTCTTTGCAAATTCAGTGAATAAAGACAAGTATTAAAGTTCATGTTCGATTGTTCACAAAATCACTAAGCCAAAATTCTTTGCGAATAGTTA